TATATATATATATATATATATATATATATATATATATATATATATATATATATATATATATATATATATATATATATATATTATACTGAATTTTTAACACTCTTCTGGTTCCCTATGTTTGTAAATGAATACAGACCAGATATTCAATTCAAGAAAGTTCGGAAGGTGCGAAATATTAATAACATTCCAATGGTTGGTAAGTCAAACAATATTTTAGCTAGGGTTCAAATGGATCCTCTTTTTGTTGTGGCTTAATTGACAGAGCTTAAATGTGGTGTAATATGTAAATATGTTCCTCACAACCGGACATTGGTGTTTGACAGATTATGATTAATTAGCGTCGCTGGGAGAAAAAATTGATATTATAAAGCATACTAAGCATAATATTAAACATTCAAAGTCTTGAATGATATTTCCTTTATAGTATCAATTCGTAATATTGTCTTGGTAATTAGTTTGTGGAAATTAGAACGAGGCAATAAGATCTGGTATATACGTATCCAGTGAAATAGTGGCCGGGCTACATGACATGATATTACTAGTGAACGGGTATTCTGCAATACTCTTATTTGTTTTTAACTCGCAATAACAGTTCTTGAGTATTTTCGGAACCAGAAAAACAAGTTTGTAGATATACTATGGTATCGCGAAGCATATCGTTCATCTTTCTGGCGTGGTCGAAGAACAACGTGGAATGATGGATATATGGTGCACCAGGGGGTTACACACGGTACGAAGGGATCCATCGATAACGCGCAGAGGCTTGGACGCGGATCAATGATGCGTCCCACTATCAATGAGGAGTCCGACTGTCTACGGAAAAAAAATTTGCTGCGGCGCTCACATATGCGTTAATATATCAACTGATTTGCATTATTTACTAACAATGAGTGTCTCATATTACACCGCAAAGCTTTTCGCGCGGATTATATTTCCCGCAGTACTAAAATTTGCGCACCCAGCTCTTCGCGAATTCCTGCAGTACTGCGCGAATTTTTATACAAGTAAACATATACAAATAAACATTTTCCTAATTGCCGTTGTGCATGCTGCTGTTTCAAGATGATCTACAAATAAACATTTTACACATTCAGATTGAGACCCTGAATCCGCCCCTGGGCTACTCCATTTAACTAAAGAGTTAGAAAAGCATCTAAAAAATTTCCAATAAATTACCAATAATTGGCAATGAATTGCAAATACAATTTCCTCATATCACAGTATTAAATTAGATCAGCCGAAAATATACGCATTAGCTTCTCATTTATTTGAAGCTTATCATTAAAATGGTTAAAATATTATTTACCTTTACTGATTGCTCGCGCTTTTTTATTCGGATTCGTTTTCGCAGGAAAAATAACGTAATCACAGCAAGAAGAAGAAAAACGGATCCTGTCACTCCTCCTGCAATCGCAACTGTGCGGCTTTCCGACTTTCGTCCTATAGTGGTATGAAATACCATCAGCAGACTTGGAGTTGTTGAACCACCCGAGATCAGAACATTGTTAAACCGAACGGCTACACCAATTCCTACATGACTTACGGCCTGGATTTTGATGTCGTATGATCCAAGATTGTCTGAATAGGAAGATGAAGAAGTGAAGATAGTTCAAATTTTAACATCCATGGCGCAACAGGTCCGCAATATTAGCGAACTTCAACTAGCGACGTTTTTGTCGACACCGGCGGACATCAGATTGTCAAGGGAGGATTGGATATTTAGGGAGGATTGTGTTTGTATCAGTTTGTGGTAATCTTCAAGAAATATGACAAAGCAAAATATTTTAAAGTCTTTTGCTTCCTTATGATGCAAAATGCCTTCAAAAGTCAAAATTAGTTCTATCAATCTTCGGAGGACGTCAGTGTTGCCAAAAAGGTCGCTTGCTTTATTTAAGCTCTCTATTATCTCCCTTCGCTTGGCCAAGATCTGGATTTATGTTTAAACAATAAGATATTTTTCAAGATATTTCTCACTGCAAAATTTGTCATTAGGTGCTGTCGTCTATTGCTAAGACTTCATGTAAGATAATTATAAGTATGAGCGAGCGAGCATACTGGGCCGAGAAGGCTTCATGCTGACATTTGCTAGATTGTATTTTTGTATTATATCGAGTGGTAGAACCCGTATCAATCCTGTGTAATTTGAGCTTTATTAAATACATAACATTGGCGACGAGGACCTTTTATAGCCAAAGTATTGAAATATAATATAGAAGATAAACTTTTTTTGCCGTTGAAATGGCAGAAAATTTGAAAAACTTTATCACAAATTTTGACCGTTTGGGTGATGCTACGACATTAAGACTTCGATGGAAACGTTGGCTCACTGCTTTTGAACTAATCGCAGATAGAAAAGGTTTGATTTTAGTACCCGATAAGGACGATAACAAACGACGTAAAGCTTTGTTACTCCATCTCGCGCGGTCTAAGGTACAGCATATTTTCTCAACGCTACCAGATACAGGCATAAATACTGAGTACGATAAAGCAGTTACGATAAAGCAGGCTTTAAATGAGTATTTTGCACCAAACGTCAATACCGCGTATGCTAGTCATTCGTTCAGAAAATTGGCAAAAAATGCAGGAGAAACAGTAAGACACTTTGTAACAAGATTGAAGCAGGCTGCAAGAGATTGTGATTACGGAACAGATACTGGCAATCAAATCAGAGATAAAGTACTATGCAAGTGTACGTCGGCCTATGTTAGACGTAAACTACTCGAGGAAGAACAAATATTAACTTTGACCCGCACTCTGGAAATCGCAGTGCAGTGCGAGAAAGTGGAGGCACAAATGGTTGCCTTTTCACATGAAACAGGTGCGGGAGGCGCAAGAAACCATGTCAACATAGTTCACAGTAAACAGTATGCTTCCGATAGACGAGACAATTAAAGTCGGAAGTGGAAATGATCCGGGGGGAAACCTGAGGAGAAAACGTGTTGTTGGTGAGGTAATACAGGAAACTTCGGCAGAGATCCCAAGTGCCCGGCTCGCGGTAAAGTATGTCGGAAATGCAATGGGAAAGATCACTTTGCGAAGGTGTGCAAAACCAAGCAAAAATTAGTTGTATAAATGACATATATGACTCATATAGCAGAGACCCATCACCAGTGGGGAATTATGCATTCATGAAACCACCAACATCAAATGTCGCACAAATGCAAACTCTAGCTGCAAGGAACTTCATTCGTACGCCACAGACAAACCATTACCAGTTAAGGGAACATTCCCGTGTGAAGTGCCAGCTGGTTCGAAGAAAACGCAGGCCGAATGTATCATGATTAAAGGAAAGGGGGCATCACTATTCGGTAAAGAGACAGCGATTAAACTTGGAGTGTTGGCGGTCGGCATAGGAGTTGCAGCAGTTGCCAATACCAACCCAGCCTTAAACCTGACCGAGCAGTACCCCGCAGAAGTAATTTACGGTATTGGCAAGTTTAGAAATAGAGAAACCACATTGGACATTGATCCGCAAGTAAAGCCCGTAGCCCAACTTTACAGGCGAGTGCCATTTAACTTTTCTAACAAGGTTGAAGAAAAGATCGATGAATTGATTCAAAAAGATATTATCGAGTCAGTTGATTGTGCGACACCGTGGCCAAACCCGGTAGTGATCATTTCTAAAAAGGACGGTGATATTCGCTTGTGCGTTGATATGAGACAAGCAAATCAAGCAATTATACGGCGTAGATATATCACTATCGATCTGATGGGACCTCTTCCTTCAGGACATTCGTTTGGTTGATTACTACAGTCGGTTTTACAAAATAGAGTTCATGACGTCCACCGCCGTGGCAAAGATAAGTGACAGCCTGAAGGAAATCCTCAATAGTACGGTGTTCCACTGACAATCATGTCGGGAAATGGACCGCAGTTCCAGTCTGAGAAGTTTAAAGAATATTGTGAACACAGCGGAATACATCACCAGAAAGTAACGCCGTAATGGACGCAAGCTAATGGAGAAGTCGAACGCCAAATTGCGTCATTAGTGAAGCGTGTGAAGATAGCGCAAGTAGAAGGAAAACCTTGGAGAGCAGAACTGAGAAAATATTTGATGGCCTACAGGAGTCTACCCCATAACATAACCAGAAAGAAACCTGGTAAATAGTCGTTCAATCGAAATATTAAAGGCAAGATTCCGGACCTAAACATGCAAAATATCCACGATCAGGAAGTACGAGATTGGAATGCAGAGAAAAAGGCAGCAGCGAAAGTTTACGTGGATACAAGAAGTGTGGCCACCTATTCGCATTTCAAAGTGGGAGACCAAGTACTACAGAACAAGACAAGAAGAACAAGCGCAGTACAACCTTCAGTCCAAATCCCTTAATGATTTTTAGCAAGAGTTGAAATAACGTAGTGGTCGAAGGAGCATCGGGAAATCAATGTTCCAGGAACACAAGCCATGTCAAGAAGTACATTCTACCTGACACACCTCTTGAAAGTTTGGACGAGATCGAAAGCCTAGTCGACAAGAACGAACTTCCCACAGTCCTGTTACAATCTCCACCGCGTACACTTCGGGAAAATATTTTTTCAGTACGGACCTCGCAGCCGCCAAATAAAATTATACAGCAGACCTTACAAGACCTGATATTATATACATTGGAATTAAAGTATTTTTTAAACATAATATCAAATGTGTATTCGTGTAATTTCAATACTTAAGAAGGCGTGTTGTTTTAGCATAACCTAATGTGTGCTGTTTCAGCAGATGTATAACACGTCTGAGAACGTGCTAAAGCAACCCACATTTAAGCTGTGCTTTCTTAACACATGGAAATACTAATACAACACCTAAGGATGTTTCCTAATGAAGCTTTTGGACTAACGCGATTTAAGGCATGTTGTTTGCTGAACAAGTATAAAACACACCTTTTCTGGGTTAGCGTAACGCACATGACACAGTTAAAGGTGTGTTGTTTTCTGGAAAGTTGTGCAAAAATACACATCTAAATCGTGAATTTTCCATTTTTTAAAAAAACTTGTATTTAGTCTAGGACCTGTATAGGTTTGTTTGCGTTTCATTCACCACAGGTAATCTCAACTGTTTTGGGATAAAATTACCATGGCGGTCAACATGGCATATGTGCCAAAACCTGAATCCGGGACGAAAGTCCTGAAAATGACCCCACCCTGAAACGCCAGTGCCCACATAGCTCTAACTTCCGAAAAGCAAAATCGACAGCCTTTCTGAAGTGCTTATAGTGCTTAGAACGGTTGCTTTTAGGGGTGGTTATTGGAAGGAAAAATTTGAGTAAGTATAATACTTTACAAGAAAATGACTATACATCACCCCAGGTAAATTGCTAATTATGCATAAAATAACTAATAGACATGGCAGAAATTAAATATCCTTATTTCTTAAAAAAAATTATCATGGGATTATTGTAGTTTTCATAAGGATAGTTATTGTTTTCTATAAATATAACATATTTTATTTCACTCCCCCCCCCCCCAACGAAAACACGATTTCCGCCATATTTTGCCATCTTGTTTGCTTTATATCGCCATGTCTCGCAATAACATCCAGTTGTTGTACTTTTACACATTCTACAATGAAGTACTCTTGGATACTGTAATCTAAATACATATGGAGACGAAGAAGTGGCTTTTATCGGACAGAGAATCGGCGAGCCATTAAAATGGCGGCATATTAGACGAAATATCGAAAGACACAATATCGAAGAGAAAATACACTGCACTGCTTCAAAAATTGCCGAAACTTGGTTGAAATCTTCTTTAACCATTTACCATTATCTAAAAGTACAACAACTGGATGTTATTTGCGAGACACGGCGATATAAAGCAAACAAGATGGCAAATATGGCTGAAATCGTGTTTTCGTGGGGGGCAAGTGAAATAAAATATGTCATATTTATAGAAAAATATGACTATCCTTATGAAAACTACAAAAATTATATTAAATTAAGCATAGTTTTTCATCCCATGATAATTTTTTAGGAAATAAGGACATTTAACTTCTCGGCCATGTATATTAGTTATTTTATGCATAATTAGCAATTTACCTGGGGTGATGCATGGTCATTTTCTTGTAAAATATTATACTTACACAAATTTTTCCTTCCAATAAACACCCCTAAAAGCAACCCTTCTAAACACTATAAGCACTTCAGAAAGGCTGTCGCTTTTGCTTTTCCGAAGTTAGAGGTATGTGGCAGCGCCGTTCCAGGGTGGGGTCATTTTCGGGACTTTCGTCCCGGATTCAGGTTTTGGCACATATGCTATGCTGACCGCCATGATCACTTTACCAGTTGAGATTACCTGTGGTAAATGAAACGCAGACAAACTCCTATACAGGTCCTATACTAATTGCACTAGATGTCTGGATTCACGGGGATTAAAATACGGCAAAGAAATAATCAATCTCTGTAATTTTAGTGTGCATTTAGCTTTATCTAAATAACTATTCCTGTCATATTTACCTAGATTTGGGACAATAAAAGGACTCGAAGTGATGTTCTTTTTACCGAAAGTGCCATTTCCATTTCTCCACGATATTATGTAATAGTCGATGTCTTCATTGGGAACATTTGGCGGTAGCCATGATACTTTTATTGAATTTCCAATGAGAGCAATTGTTACGTTTTGTGGCTTACCTGGAACTGAAAAAATACGAAAACAATCAGGATCACATTTTCACCAATGCAGTATTGGATCTACTCGAACAATTTGATTTTATAATAAAATTTTAGGCTCAGCTGTAGTGATCCATTCTTAGAGTTTATTTCTGATTTACACCAGCAATTTCAAATCGTCCTTGACCGCTTATGTTTACAATGGCACAAAAAAGTGTGATTTTCCAAGTTATTAAAGCCTGATCAGTATTAGTATCAAAAAGCACAACCCTCTATTGTTGCAAGAGTCGGATTACCCTTTTCTTGCGTAGCGTAGCGCCAAATCAATGCAAATGGGTGATTTTGATAGATTACAATATTACCTGTGGCAGGTTGTGGACAAAATCCATCGACAATTCTGTCCACTATCATCTTAATATCCTCCAACGATGTTTCAAGTGCTTCACCTGGTGTTGATATATTTTTTATAAAATCCCTGACATTTTGATATACGTCAGAATAACTAATCCCGACAATCCTTACGCCTTTTTGTCTCAACTTGCGTGCCGATGATCTTGGGGGATATTTCCTTGATTCACCACTGCGCGTTGGGATGCCGTCTGTGATTAAGACAATGACATCATCTTTATCAGGTCTATGATTGTTTGGGCTCTCTTTTGCAAATATCTAGAATATCGGAAGGAGAATTTTGGTGTAGAAATATTGTCCCCGAGCACGCCTGTGAAGGTACTGTATACTAAATGTTTTCTTTTTACACGTTCGAAAAGAAAAGCTAGCGGATTTAATAGTTCATCAAGACTTTTATTAATTGTTCTTTATTAAAATTGTTTTAACACTGTATCCTATTCAATGTTAACAATCTACTATATACAATACTGATTTTAAAACGGCCGTGTTCATGTATATTTAACAGTTATTCCACGCCGAATCGGCTATCGCTCATATTCGACGAGAATGAGTGGAATAACTGTTTTATTATATACGCAAATAAATGAATTCACAGACTTTGCTTTTCGGATATTTTCAATATTTTTTTTTTATTTTGTTTATGTTTTTTATCTTCGCTCTTTTGGCCGATTATTTTTTCAAAAATATATATTTTTAACCATTTTAAATTTTTAAAATTCATTTGCTAACCTGTAAACAATTTGTGGGAGTTTTTTTATTGTGTTTTTAATCCTGTAAAGGCTATAAAAAGCGAACAACTTGCCGTTTTCTCGTTCGCAAAACGTTGGAAATTCAGTTTGAGCCGCCATTTTGTTTTTCTCCACAAGCAGGATATGAGCTAATATCCTGCTAGTAGAGAACCAATCAGATTGCAGAATATCTCATACCCAAACCTTGCGTATATACATATATACATATATATATATATATATATATATATATATATATATATATATATATATATATATATATATATATTACAAAATTTTATATATCTATATATATAGTAGAATGTTAACACTGAATAGTCTACCGTGTTAAAACAATTTTCATAAAGTATAAAGTATTGATGAACTATTAAATCCGCTAGCTTTTCTTTTCGCAAGTGTAAATAGGAAAAATTTAGTATACAGTACCCTCGCAGGCTCGGGAACGATTGAGAGGGCTTTATCGGTGCATATAGGCGAGCGGCTATATGCACCGATAAAGCCCAATCACGAGGTTTATAAATGACTTCTAAAATTCACCTTTTGTTTTGGGTCCCAATGAAAAAATAAGAAATGTTAACTACAATAGTTCTATTGTTTTACGATTCTTCCCTTCATTGATCAGCAAGCAAATTAATGACTGGATTAATTATCAAGTCATACAAGTCGTTAAACGGAGTTTTCAAATGGAAATTTGAACATATTTGACTTGTTTTGTTAATGAGTCGGTTTCGAAGCGCTCGAACTGCTGAAGAGGAGCAAACGTTGCTCGAAAGATCGATGCCGCCAAGTACAAGATACGCGACAAAGTGGGCTTTGACGATTTCTGATTCCTGGAGAGCTGCTAGAAAGGTTAATTTAATTAAAGAAGTGAAGATCGACGATGCTGAGGTCATGAAACAGATGATATTGGCCCAAACCAGACATTAACTACATCGCTGGCGGAGATGAATGAAGCGTCTTTAGCATTTTAGTTAAGCAAGTTTGTTGGGTTTAAAGAGTTTAAAGTGGTGTGTAATAAAAAACGAAATGGTTGTTATCCCGTGTTTAAAAATTGCAACATTACCTTTAACTTTGGAAAATAAAGTATTTATTGATTTCTCGATTATTTGAGTTTTTATTAGGAACAGATTAATAAACATTTTGTTAAAGAATGCTTTATAAAGGTACATGTACCTTTATCATAAAGGTACATATAAGAAATTCATTGGCTAATTAGCTCATGAATTATTCATGAATTTTAGAAATATATATATATATATATATATATATATATATATATATATATATATATATATATATATATATATATATATATATATATATATGTATATATATATAATATCCAATATATTAGTATCCAATTTTTTTATGTATATAGTATCTTTGGGTACTTATAATGTATAGAATAATGAAAAAAATGTGGTTTGGTTCACAAAATGCCAAAGAGTGCTCGATATCATATAGATAGAGCAGATATAATCGTCTTAAGCTACGTTTATACACGCTACGATTTGTCGTGTACGATTCCTATTCTGGCGTATTAAAATGAGTGCTGGCGCCATAATTCATTGCCATTTCGTTTAAAAGAAATTTCAAATGTAGCTAGCTTACGCGTGTTTACTCAATGACATAAACGCCAGAAAACGAATCGTACACGAATAATCGCAACGTGTAAACGTAGCTTTATTGCCGTTGTTTTATCCAAGAGGAATCAGAGTCACCTGGTGATTCCTCTTGGATGAAACAGACTGTTGTGTTGTTTTAGATATATAAAGTGCTCAATACTAAAGTAATACTAGAGCGTATTAAATTGTCTAGGCTATATCTTAAAATTATAAATATCGCTACTCAGAGTTTCACATCCTTTCTAGACGATAGTCAGGCGATTCTGTTCACCACTGTGTCACAGATGAGGTAAATACAGATATGAATCTCCCGTCAAAATGTGTCACACGCTTTTTCGCGCAAAATGCGCATGCGTAACCTCCTGGCAAATGTCATGAAAAATTTTAATCAGAAAACTAATAGGGAAAATCGAATTTTTCACAAACAAATGGCGATTTAAAGAAAATCTTCAATACGATGTCCCATTTGACTTAAATTTTTTCAAAAGAGGGATGGACTGG